CCAGAGGGAGGAGCAACAAGGGTGGGCTCAGGCGCACCCCCGGGTCCAGGAAAAGGAGGACCCAAAACAGGAAGACCCGGGGCGACCCAGGTCTGGACAGGGGTGGGGAGAAGTCCCGTCAGACGGAGCGGGCCTAAGGCTAGGACCTCATCGGTACCGGGCCGGGCCGGAGCGAGAAGCAGGACCAAGACCCGGAGGACAGGCAGGGGCGTGGCCATGGCTCCGGAACGGGCAGGGGCGGTCCGAGGCCGGAGGGTGGAGCAGAGGCGGGACCAGGACAAACCGGCCGATGGTCAGACGACGGACGGCTGCAGGCGAAGGAAGTGCAGGGCCGCGGCGAGCAGCCCGAGGAGCAGCAGCAGCCCGAGCAGCAGCCGCAGGAGCGCCCGCGCCCTGGGGCCGCGGGGCCGCCGGGCCGTGGTCTGCACGTATCGCTCCACGGCGTCCGCGAAGTTGAACTTGTCCGGAGCGTAGCCCAGCTGGGCGCGGGCCTTGCCGATCCGGAAGGTGTGCGTGACGGCCACGCTGTGCACCTGCGGCGAGAGGCGGGCAGCTGAGGGCGGGCGGGGGGGGGGGAGGGGAAGCGACCTCCCAGGCAAGTCTGGCTCCCGCGCAGCCCTCCGCAGGGACAGCCCGCGTCCGCCCGTCTCCATCTCCCTCCTCCATCTCCCTCGAGGCGCGCCTGGAGGGGCCTTTCCGGCGTCTCCCCACCCGAGCGCTGAACTCAGGCCCCGAGGCGCCCCTCTGCCGGCCTCGCAAGGTGCTGGGAGCAGAAGGCCCGTGCACTGGGCGCCTCGCCTCGGCTCCAGACCAGGCCTTCAGCCCTCGCTGAGCCACGGAGCCTCCCCACGAGGAACTCCGTCACGCACAGCGCTAGGGTTTGAGCTGCGGCGGGTCTCGCTGCGGCCACATGGCCTGGAGCCCACAGGCTCTGTACCCGACCTGCGCTAAGTCTCAGTCAGTGCTCTGAGGTGGTTCTGGGGCACCACCCCCATCTCCTCTTAACATAGTTGAACATTGAAGAGATGCCCAGGTCACAAGGGGAGCCAGCATCCTCCTCCTGCGACTTGGGAGGATGCCCGTCCAGGTGCACCCACTGGGCGGGGCCCACTAACGGCCGATTCTCCCCCGGAGCTGAAGCTGCCCTGGGTCTAGCCCGGTTCTTAGGTGCTTGTGGGAGAAGACAGGGAGGGAATCGGCTCCGGATCCTTTGGCCGAGGCTCGGGAGCTCCGGGCTTTGGGGCAGGGGGCGGGCAGCAGCTGTGAGCTCCACCAGCAGGGTTCTGCAAGGCCGTGCTCTCAGGTCCGAGGCTGGGGCTCATTTCCCCCCTCTCTTCCTCAGACCTGGCGTCGGTGCCCCTTCTGTGCGCCCTGGAGCTCTTCCCAACTGTGCCTCCTGGTCTTTACTCAGTGTGTTGAGCTGCCCGGTTCCGGGGCTCTCCTCCCCTTTGGACGGTGAGCTCCTTGGGGTAAGGACCATGTGTGGCCTCCATTGCTCAGCACAGAGGTACAAGTTCAAGGACTGAAACGCTACCCGTTCAAACTAGAGGGCCGGCTGGTGTGCACAGACTGAGCGGCAGAGGGCGCCAGAGCCACATTCCCCAGGAAATAGGGATCCTTTGCCCTGAACTGCCCAGAAGTCAGGGAGCGGGAGGGAGCCAGGTCCCTGCCCTGTCACGATTCCGCAGCATCTTGGCAGCTCTTTCACACTGATGTGATTCCTGACTCGTTGCACAAGCTGGTACTTTAGTTTAAAATCACTTAGGCCTGGTTGCAGTTCAAATTTCAGCTCTGCTACGTCAGTGAGTGATCACAGGCAGGCTGTTTCATCATGTGTCCCATTCCCTTCCCGGTAAGTGGAGATGGTAACATACTGTATAAGTGATGATTAAATGAGGCGGACACAGAAAACACGGCCTGACATATCGCTGCCACTCAAAAGATGGTCGCTGTTGTCATCGGTCTCATTCCTCCGCTAGTTTGGATGGTTCAAAGGAGGAACAGTCGGGGATTGCCATTTCTGTGGCCCAGGCTCCACTGCCAAGTCAGCGAGCACTAAGCTTGGAGTGTCACGCCAATTCCAGAATGGTGTGACAAATCACCAATCTTTCTAGTCCTGTTTCTCACCAGAAATGAGATCACAATCATAATTCTTTAGCCCTCCTAACTTATCAGTAATGCCTGAGTGCAATGCCTTCCAGGCTATCAGAGAAAATCAAACGAGTGGACTGGAAGGATTTTGCAAATAACCACAAACACCCATAAAGTTCACTGCAAGAAAACGCCCTCTCTTTTAAACTGTATATGCAAATAGAAACATCATCATTATTTGAAAGCACTATTCTGTACAGAGTAGGTACTTAGTATATACGTATTATTCAGTAAGCACGGACAGTGAACCTGCAACTAAAGGCTCTGTGCATGAGTGTGCTGAGAGTTGGCAGAGCTGGTGGGGAGTGGTGGCATTCTAAAAAGTGAATGTCATGCCCGGCCAGCATGGCTCAGTGGTTGATCATCAACCTATGAACCAGGAGGTCATGATTCGATTCCTGGTCATGGCACATACCCGGGTTGTGGACTCGATCCCCAGTGTGGGGTGTGCAGGAGGCAGCTGATCAATGATCTCTCTCATCATTGATGTTTCTATCTCTCTCTCCCTCTCCCTCTCTGAGATCAATAAACATATATTAAAAATAAATAAATAAACATAAACAATAAAGGTCATGGAGCCTGTTTTGGAGCCACCAGCTTGGCTGGGAGGATAAACTGTATAAAATAACAATGGCGAGGGTTGGGCTTGGAGCGGGCACCCTTCGGATCAAGAGTACACACAGCCCAAGCAAAAGCCAGCGGTCAGATGGTTATGGTCCTAGCGGCTAGGTCCTAGCCCTAGACTTGGGCCCACCTGGGAGGTTCTGAGGCCTCAGGCACGCTTCCAGTTATGGTGCCAAAGGGGTGAGGGGTAGTGGCAGTGGGTGAGGAAAAGGGCAGGAAGGCGAGTGAGGGTGCACCCGGGCACGGGGCTCCCCAGCAGCAGCCCACTTACCTCACTCCGGGTGAGCAGCGGCGGGACGCTGCAGATGGGCCTCAGGGCCAGGTGCAGGTACTCCATCACCGTGGCTGTGGGAGAGAGGCCGCTGACCAGCATGCCTGGCTCTGTGCGAGCTCCAGGGGCCCTTGGGGACGTATCAGTTATTTGCTTTGCTAGGGGGGGCCTTCTCTTTGCAAAAATGTTCTGTCGGTGTATTCTTTTAAATCAGCACTTCACAGCACATGCTGGGGTGCCTTTTTTGGCTGAGAAATGTCACAATTAAGTTGTTATCACATTTTAAGGACGGACCGAGCAGATTCCAAGTTACCTCCTAGTAATGTCTGCCTCATCACTTCTATTCCAATACTAGAGGCCCAGTGCATGAAATTCATGCACGGAGAGGGTCCCCAGTGACTCCTGGCTGCCAGCCAGGGCTGCCCTTATGTGGTTGGCCAGCCGGCCCCGCCCCCTGGTCGAACTCCGGGTCGAGGGGACAATTTGCATATTAGGCTTTTATTATATAGGATGTTCTCTTGAGTAGGGGAGGAAGAAGCTGGGGTAGTGGCTCTTCCTGGGTTGCACTCTGGACCACTTCGAAAAAAGCTGGTGCTTCCTCTGCCCCTGGGTTCCCACTGTTGCCGATGTCATTGTTCTGGGTGCAGCGGAGGCATTTTTATATTTTAAAGCTCCCAGGTGACTCCAATGTGCAGCAGGGCTAAGAGCCTCTAGGTTACAGTTTGCTCCCCCTGTAGCCCCGTCAAACTGCCGGAACCCTAGTCTTCCCTCAGCTGGGGCCAAGGAGTGTCAGTCACCATGGCGATGCGTACTGAGCAGCCATCCTGCCTGTGTGCCCTGGTGGACAATGTTGTACAAACCCCTGCTTTAAAAGGCAAGCGCCCCAGGCTCAGTCCCCGGTGTGGGGCGCGCAGGAGGAAGCCAGTCAAGGGTTCTCTTTCCTCACTGATGATTCTCTCTCTCTCTCCCTCTCCTTTCCTCTCTGAAATCAGTAAAAGTATATGTTGTTTAGAAAGGCAAGCATCCCAGTGCGTTCAAAATACAAGCCCCGTGGAGGTTCCGGAGCACAGCCCGCTGTGACATGAGGGCCCTGTCCCGGGCTGACACTGCCTGCCTCACACCTGCTCTGCACATGCTGGAGGCGGCTGGCAGGCGGGGGCTGGGATGTGAGTAGAGACTGACCTTCAGGGTGAGGAGGAGAGTCTAGGGTCAAAGTGGGACCTCACATGTCCCAGAGCACCCTGACTCAGGATGACCTTGGGGGCTGAAGAGCCCGGGGCCCTCTCGCCCTGAGTGCAATGCCTTCCAGCGGGGCCCAGGTGTGAATCCCTCTTCTCACGGTGGCACCGTGGGCAGGTAACTAACCTATCAGAGCCTCAGTTGCCTCACCTCTACTCTGGGCCCACACTACCCACCTGGCAAGTGGCACAAGGTTTAAACACGGCCAGGTCTCAGGTGAGGGGAGGGACGTGCGGGGCTGGGCCAGGGCAGATCAGGCTTGGAGCGCTGGACCTGAGTGAAGGTCTCCTTAAATTCTGTGCCCTCGGTGCCTCTCTGGCCTCCACTAGTCCTGGCCCTGGGACTGCATGTCCACTCGGCACATGGCGGGCTTCTAATACACACATGCTTTTGCTTACCTGTCAGGTAAACCAAGGAGGTAGGTACCTGGATCCAGGGCTGGCTGTACCCCAGCTTCTCAAACTGCAAGAAAACAGCCTGAGATGAAAACAGTCCTCCAGGGGCTCGTGTGGAACAGCCACACGTCTCCTTTACCCTGGGGCCCACAGAGGTACCTCCTGGCCCCTGGCCCACCCACCCCCAGCCAGCCCAAGCCGGTGCCAGTGAAATCCACACCTTGACCTGGAAAACTCAAGTAGGAATTGAATGCACGGGGTGGAGGTTCACTTGGGATCATCCACATCGTTTTGTTTTTATTTACATCCGCCTACACCCAAGGCACTTGGGCAGAATCTGATTTTCCTAAAATAGCTATTGCGGGGGGTGGGGGGATGGCACCCAGACGTGTGGGGGGTGTAGAAGAGGAAGCAGACTGGGAGGGACTATGGCCAACAGGGCAACACAGGCCCCAAAGGACAGCTGCAACCCAGCTCCAGGCAGTGCCAGCGTTACCCAATGGACAGTTTCCAGAACTGGTTTTGCAGATGAAATGTGATTTTTAGAAGGAGGGAAGGATGACGGGGAGAGCGGAGGTGGGGGTGGGCATCTGGGCACCTACCAGTGGAGCCATCCACTCAAACAGGTTGACGCTCTCCCCGTCATTGATGTAGTAGGCTTGGCCGCTCTGCCAGGGACACCAGAAAAGGGCACAGTCAGGCACCTGCCTCCTCAACCTTCAGACGGCTCCCGGCAGCCACCCCGGGCCGAGACCTGGGCAATTCCCTTTCAATTCTGGAGCTGACCAGCTGTCTGACCCAATGGAGTCACTTAATTTCTTTGTGTTTTTTTTTCTCAGTTTCTCCATCTGAGAAATGGAACGATAGAAGTGGGAGCTCCTGGACTGCTATAAAGATGAAAAGTGTATGTCAAATGCCTGGCATTTGGTGACGGTGCTTCTGGCATCAACACCAGCTACCTCACAGGGTCACTGCTAGGAGCGAATCCTGCTCTGTGACGCCCCCTACCAGGCCCGCCCCAGCTTCTCCGGCTGGCAGTCCTCGCCCACCGCCCTCTTGGGTTGGGGAGAAACGCTGTATGTGAGCCAGGAATCCCTGAGGGATGGGGCCCGCTGCACCCCACGGGGAGCTGGGAGCGTCACAGGGACTCACGGCCACGTAGCCCTTGGCCGCAGTGAGGGCCTCGGCCGCCAGCACGTGCGCCTGCACCAGATTGTGCACGTGGACCCAGTTCATCCTGGTCCTGCGGTCCCCGAATCGGAACATGAACAGCCTCTTCTTAATGTGGCTCTGGGGATGGAGGAGAGGGGGGATCGACACAGGCCCCAGCCTGTGTGCCGTTACATGTCATCTCTGTGCTGAGGGGCCCCACATTCTAGCTCCAGGCGGGAGCCCTCTGCCCCAACCCCAGGTTCCATCAACAGTCCTCGCCGCTCCTGGAGCTGATGCCTGGTCTTTGCTCTCTCTCAACCCTGCTGGGAGGGAGGGGGGCTTTGCTCTCCCTTCTCTCATACCCCACATCCAGCTCACCTGCAAGTCCCGTTGGCTACACTGTGAGAATCCGTCCAGAATCCACTGCTTCCCACCGCCCCGCCTGCCCTCATCTCTCACCTGGACCTGAAATAGTCCCCTACGGGCCCGCTGCTGCGCTCCCCACAGGCCAGGGGGCCCTTTCACGCCCAGGCAGAGGGCATGTCTCCCTGCGCAGAACCTCCTGGGTGCCCATCTTGCAGGTTGAAAGCCTCAGCCCTGACAACAGCCCTTCTGATCTGGCTCCAGCTTCTCTGTGACGACAAGCCCCTCGCTTGCCCACCTCCCAGCCCCGGCCTCCTCCCTGGAACATGCTGGCGGGTCCCACCTCAGGGCTCAGACTTGCTGCTCCCTCTGCCTGGTGGGCCCTTCCTCCAGATCCCTGTGCAATGCGCTCTCCTACCCCCTTAAACTGCTGCTCAGATGTCCCTGCTGCATGATGCTCCGACTGCCAGCCCTCCTGGCTCCTTCAGCCTTTGACACCTTTCCTGCTCTGCAGAGAACCTGGTCATTTGTCATGCTTACCCTCTACCTCCTTGTATGAGAACGTGAGCCCCAGGAGGGCAGGGATTGTCCGTTTTGCTCACTGATCTGTCCCCAAGCCTAGAACACCTATCTTTCTCATGTCCAGGTTGTGCCCTTGCTGTCTCCTCTGTTTGGACAACCTTCTCTGTACCACCCATTTCCTTGGTTAGTTCCTTCCTCTCCTTCCAAACAGCTCAGGCGTCACTTCCTCCAGGAAGTCCTCCTGGACTTCCCTCTCTGCCGAGCTCTCATCTTCTTGTTCTTGTCCTTCCTCCCTCCATAGAGCCCTCAACACACTGAGTCTATGACCTGCACGTGTCTCCTGCCCAGGCTTTGAGAAATCTGAGGACAGGGCCTACAAAACCCCCTTTACCAGCTTTCTCTGGAGAGAGGGTTTTTTTGCATGAAGACTCTGGTGCTGGTGGCATGAGATGAACCACCTGCCCCCATGGAGCCCAGGTCTGAGCGGGGACAACAGGCTCCCTCTGTCTCTTTGGAGCCATAGCTCCGTGTCTGCCCACCCATGTCTAGACCTGGCTGGCATACACTGAGAGCTGCGCCTGGTGGGCCTGAGGGGGCCCGGGCACCTCCCGGAGCTGAGGGCCCCACACTAGGAACACTGCCCCACGCCTGCTGCAGGGACTGTGGGCTAGGAGGACCCCATCCATGAGAACTTGAGCCAGGTTCCTCCTGGGCCTCAGGTCCAAGGTGGGAATGACATACCGCCACACGGGGCAGGTGCCTCTGCTCTTCAGGGCCGTAGATCCCCGGGGGCCGGAGTACACAGGTGCGTAGAGTGCCTCCTCCTAGGACACGGGGAGGGCGGTCAGAGGGAGGCGGGCCAGAAGAGAGGGGGACAGATGGCTGCCCACATCTCCTGGTCCTTACTGGGCAGGTTAGCAGGGAAAACAGGTCCTTGGGGTTTCCTCATTCAGTTAGTATTCCCTCAGTCAGTCAGTTAGTCATTCAACAAACACGGTTCAGAGGTTTTCTCCTTGTCCCCTGCCCCCTGCCCCCTGCCTCCTGCACTGGGCCTTGGGTTGGACGCTGTGGAGAACCTAAGGGTGACCAAGAATGCTTCCCGCCCTCATGATGCTCACAGGCCAGTGACAGGTAAGACCTGGATGCAGGCGTGTGCACTGCCCGTGACAGACATGATTCCTTCCGCTCCCTCCTGTGCTCATGTGCAGGTGCACACAGACCCACCCTCCCTCATGCCAACAGCTGCAGTTCTTTCCTTTTCCTGATCATCAGTTAGATAAGGACTATGATGCTCTCAGGGAGGTCCTACTATGTGCCTGGCACTCTGGTAAGCTGCAATTTTTCTCCCTCAAGGCAGCTCTCTGGCCCAGGTTCAGACAAGGGATGTGATTTTCCTAAGGGCACACAGCTCAGCTTTGTGGAGCTGAGATGGAGAACCTAGCCCAGGCTCTCTCCACTAACCCCCCTGCCTCTCGGTGACACAGAAATAACAAGTAGACCCTGTCTCCAGCTTTGCCAGCCTCGGTCTCCTCACCTGGAAAATGGGTGCTTTGTAGGTGGTGTTGGAAGATATAGTCTCTAGGCCAGTGGTCGGCAAACTGCGGCTCGCGAGCCACATGCGGCTCTTTGGCCCCTTGAGTGTGGCCACGAAGTTTCAATCGCACTGTACGTGCGTGCCCGCATGTGGTATTTTGTGGAAGAGCCACACTCAAGGGGCCGCAGTTTGCCGACCACTGGGCCAGATCAGCAATGAAGAAAGGACAAGATGGGCACAGTCGGCATATGAGCCTGCCCCCTAACTCTCCCTGCTCTGTGCCAGCAGGGCCCCCAGACCAAGACAGAGCTCTGTCCAGGGCCCCCCTTGTGGGGTGGTGAATGTGTCTCCTGTGGGGTGTAGCCTGAAGGGTTGCCACAAATATATCCTTTCAAGTTTTAGGAAAGCCTGCAAAATTTTCAGTTTATTCTCATACTCCATTTGTGTTTTAAATTTAAATTTTTTAAAATGACTTATTTGTAAATTATTTGACACGCAACCGCAACTCCTTAATGGAGAGGGCGCCTCCTGGACGAAGTTCCACTTGGGGAACCCAAGCGGCTACTCCCGGTTTGGAAAGCCCAGTGTAGACCAGCTCTGGGAACAAAGCTCACCTCCTTTTGCGGACCTCCTGTCCCTGCGTGAGGCCTGGGAGGACTGGCAGCCTAGACGTGCCTCTGGCCCCTGAGGTGGTGGCCGTGGGACCTAACCTGGGCCAATGACGTGTGCTCACCCAGGAAAGTGACTCCGGGACCTACACTGCGAGGAGGAGGGTTACCCAAGAGACTGATCACCAGCTCCTACCCCTCGGGCCCCCAGGGCTGCCCCAACCCTGTCCTGTCCAAGCCCTGGTGGCCATTTTTCTAGAAATTTCTGTCCAACGTCCTTCCAGTGTAAGTCCCCTCCATCCGGTCAATTAGCCAGGACCAGCGTCTGCAGGTCCCAGACAAATACCTTGACTGCTTCCCAGATCAACCCCCTCACCTGACAATGAGGCCAGGGTAGCGGATTAGGTGGTAGCTCTGAAGACATATGTGCACATCCAGAATCTGTGCGTGCGGCCTTATGTGGGAAAAGGGTCTTTGCTCATGCAATCAAGGACCTCACAAGGAGGTCATCCCGGATCACTTGGGTGGGCCCAAAACCCACTGCCAAGTGTCCTTATGAGAGATCAGGAGAGTCAGGTGGAGAAGAGGCCACGTGGAGACAGAGGCAGAGACGGGCATGATGCACCCACATACCCAGGAGCGAGTGGAAGAGCCTTCAGAGGGAGCGAAGCCCGGTCCTCCCGGAGAACGGGGAGAGCAGACGTTCCAGCTAAGCCACGGGGTGTGTGGCAATGTGTCCTGGCGGCCCCAGGACACCACGTACCCAGAGGCAGAGAACGCAGCCAGGGCACACTGAGCCGCGGTCTGCACACCTCAGGGCTTTGCCTCAGGGACAGGGCCCTCCATGCCAGGTCGGAGGGACCAGCCTGGGTAGCAAAGACTGGCAGTCACCCAGAGTGGCGGTGGCTGGGCTCCGGAAGGCAGGTATCAGGTGAGCTTTTCTGTAACAGCCTGTGGCTAATTTTAAACTCGGGGTCACCTGGGCGCAGAGGGGGAGGGTCGGGTTGCAGTGACATTGGCCGGCAGGGCACTGGGCAGCCACATCACAGACGCCTGGGCCCAGGGTATCCATGACTCTCTTGACCATGGAAAGTTGGGGATGCTCATATAAATAATTCTTGGCCCGAGGATTAGGTGTCTGGCTTCTAGGCGCGCGCGCGCGCGCGCGTGTGTGTGTGTGTGTGTGTGTGTGCGCGTGTGTGTGTGGGGCAGCGAGGGGGGGGCAAGTAGAGAAGAGAATTCAACTGTACAGGGTGCCCGAGGATTAGGTGTCTGGCTTCTAGGCGGCTGGTCCTGTGCGTGCGCGCGTGTGTGGGGCAGCGAGGGGATGGCAAGTAGAGAAGAGAATTCAACTGTACAGGGTGAAACCTCTGGAAAACACAGCTGGAAGTTCCTGATAGGCCCAGGGTGATGGGGTGGGGAGGGTTTTTAATTTTTTTAATTCTCACCCGAAGATTATTGATTATTTTTATTTTTATATTTGCTGGTCCTGTGCGTGCGCGCGTGTGTGGGGCAGCGAGGGGATGGCAAGTAGAGAAGAGAATTCAACTGTACAGGGTGAAACCTCTGGAAAACACAGCTGGAAGTTCCTGATAGGCCCAGGGTGATGGGGTGGGGAGGGTTTTTAATTTTTTTAATTCTCACCCGAAGATTATTGATTATTTTTATTTTTATATTT